CAATGATGGCCATCTACCAATAGAAGATTCAAGAATCCAGTAGTTGTTCAGTCCATGAGGCTGGATGTCCCAGCTGGTTTTCCTTATATGCTGGAATCCCGGAGAAGTAGACTGTAATGCCAGTGAAGGAATGGACTTGCCAGTGAGATAAAGCAGGTAAAGCTCAAGGCTTCCTTCTCCCTTGTCCTTTACATAGGTTGTCAGCAGAAGGTTTGGCCCAGATTTAAGGTGTGTCTTCCCACCTCAAAGCCCTGGATTTAAAGTGTGTCTTCCCACTTCAAATGGTTTAATTAAGAAAAGAATCCTTCACAGGTGTATCCAGCCACTTGCTTTTTAGTTCGTTTCAGATGCAGTCAAGTTGACAACCAAGAATAGCCAGCACAAGTACAAATTCCCATTTTCCTACTCCCCTTCCCAGCCATGTGACCTTAGAAAATTGCTCAGTATGGAGCCTTATTGTCTCATCCAGAACTAGGCTTATAGAGTATCCACATATATTTATTTCCCATCACTGCTGTGATGGATTGCCACAGATTTAGTGACTTAAGATGGCAAAGAGTTGTTCTCCTACAGTTCTTCAGATCAGAAGTCTGAAAGTGGGGGCTGGAGGGATGGTTCTGTGGTTGAGAGCCCTTTCTCTGAAATCATGAAGACCGGAGTTCAGATCCTAGCACCCACACAGCAAGCTGGTGGGCATCATCAGCAAACACCTGTAACCCCAGATCTGAAGGGGATGGAGACAGAAGGATTGCTGGGACTAATCGGCCTCTAACCTAGTGGAGCTCCATGTACAGAAAGATACCCTTCCTCCAAGGAACAAGCAGAGAAAGACAGAAAAGGAAACCTAAAGCCCTCTTCTGGCCTCTGTGTGCACACACAGGTGCATGCATCTGCACACATGTGTGCATATACATTTACACAGACACACATAGCTGAGTGTGTGCATGCATATACACATGCAAAGTAAATAGATACAATTCAAATTTAAGAAGTCTGAAAGGGATCAGACTTGATCCAAGTCATGTGGTGGCAGGGCTGTGTTCCTTCCTGGAGATTGAGGGAAAGTCTGTTACATTGACTTTCCTAACTATTCTTATTCCTGAACTCATAGCCCCTCCCACCTTCAAAGTCAACAATGGCTGATTTCCTCTGTTTTACACATCCTGATGCCCTTCTTCCTTTTTTTTCCTTTTTAAAGTGCCCCCCAATAGCATTGGATCTGTCCACCTAACCCAGAATAATTTTGTTAATATTACCTAATTAGTCGCCTTGACTCCATAGGCAACCTTGATTTTTTTTTTGGCATGTCACAAAACATACTTACAGATGTCAGGAATTAGGGTGTAAACATATTTGGGGGTCATTATTCTGCCTGCCATACTTCCTCAGAGTCTTGTTGGAAAGATTAATGAGACAATATATGTAACCTTTGCTGCTCAAAAGTGTAGAAACTCCTCATTTACTTTATCAGGTTTATTCCAATGAGACCATCATAAATCAAAAATGTGCTGAATGTGCCTAACCTAGCAGCCATAGTCGCTCAGCCACAGAGCACATTGCAGTGTCTTGGTTTGTGGGACTGACTGAGAGCTATGGCTTACTGCCTGTGGTTGTTTAAATGAAGAAGGTTCCCCAGTGAACTCAGAAGACCTGGTCTCCAGTTGGTGACTGTTTGGGGAGGTGTGGACTCGCTGGAGGAAGTGTGTCACCGGGCACGGGCTTTGAGAGTTCAGAGCCTGGCCCTCCTTCCTGTTCATCCTCCTTGTTCCCTGTGTGTGGTCGAGGATGCTTTCTCTCGGTTTCCTGTTTCTGCCATCATCCCTGCTGCTTGCTGCCATGCTTCTCTGCCATGATGGACTCACCCTGCTGGGTCCATAAGTGAAAATAAATCCCTCTTGTAAGTTGCCTTGGTCATGGTGTTTTTTATCACATCAGCAGGGAAGTGACGCACACAGTGCCATCGCCCTGAGTTGAGGCGTAGTATCAGACTGTATATCACTAGCCTGGAGAGAGACACAAATTCAAAATTAAAAGCTTGTTTTCTACCGAGAGCTCGTAGCTTTTTGCACCGTGGCGAAGCTGAAACACGGCGTGTCAAACCATAAAGATTGGGAACTACTCTATAGAGCGAATTGTAATTGCCATTGGACTGGCGAGGTAGCTCAGCAGGCAGAGGGGCAGAGGTGTTCAAATGTGACTGCCGTTATCATCAGTGTGAGGGTTAATCTTGACTGTCATCTTGAATGGATCTATAGTCATTTAGAAGATGGGCCTCTAAGCATGTCTATGAAGGCATTTCCAGAGAGATTTAACTCGGGAGGAAAGACTAGCCTTGAATATGGGTGACGTAAACCCAGCTGGGTACCAGTGTTCATCTCTCCATGGGCTCTCACTGCAAACACAATGTGACCAGGTTTCTGCTCTCCTTCCACAATGCTTTTCTCATACTAGGGGCTCTACCCCAAACTCTAAGCCAAAACAAAACCTTCCTTTTTAATGTTGCCTTTGTTGGGTATTTTGTTATAGTAATTAGAAAAGTAACGATACAATCATCATCATCTTCGCCATTGTATTTATCAGCATCTCATTACCTACTCCATTGCTCGACAATGGGATGCCAGTGGGGCCCCTGAGAATGGCCCCTCTGTGAGGACCACCAGTGTACTGGGGGTGGGTGGGGCAGAGGAGACTCCTCGAGCCTCCTATATAAATTGCTTCTAACTTTCAGACTCACAAAGTCCCTATCCTGAACTCAGAACAAGCTTGGAACCAGGAGGAGATCAGACCAAATTAGACGGACAGTTTGTCTCTCCCAGCATTGCTCAGTACATCCCCGAGCTTTGGCTGAAGAGCTGCTCCTGGACAGAGCAGGATAGTTGTGAGGACGATTTCCTTGGAACCTGACAGCTCCCTCATGGTCTTCCTGGCCACGTAGGAATCAGCCTCCATTCCTTCTAAAGATGGCTTTATTAAGTGTTTTCTTATGCAAGCTTTCTAATAAAGAGGGAGCAACGGAGCAGTATGTTAATCAGGCAAGGTGTGGGATGCTCATCTCTGTCCTGCAGCGGGAAGGGATCCTATGGACTCCAGGATACTGGATGGGGTGAGGCAAATGCTCTATTGTGAGAAGGGGACTTAGGTCCTCCAGGGCTTTCAGAGCACTGGGCTGGGGCTGACAGTGGCTGAAAGGCATCTGAAAGCTGGAGCTTATTGGAGCTGTTTCCCAGTACCAAAGGCAGAGTGCAGATCTCTCAATACCCTTAATCTCTCAGAGGCCACCAAAGGCAGAGACAGCAGTGCCTGTCACTGAGCCCTTCTAGGGGCCTTCTCCCTCTGTCCCTGGACCTTTATTCCATTCCGAGGCAAAGGGTGGGAGGAGTCATGAGAACCTGGTGTGTTTGTTACATGATGCAGCATCCAGGCATGGGGGAAGGAGGAGCTCCAGGGACAAGGAGATTCAGTGATTTTTCTATCGGACATTTTCCATGTTTTCGTTACATATGAAACCGGTACTGTCCACCAACAACCAGGGCATGCACATAGCCCTTGCTCATTACGTTATAGACAAAGAAAGATCAGTGTCGAGAATAAAACCGAAGGTAACAATGGTGGAGTTTGTAATCAGAGAAGTTTGTCCAAAGCTGGTGATAACTGTCCTTGTACACACCACATGAACGCTCAGCAAGCTATTCTCGTGTCACTGAAGTCCCTCTGCAATTGTTTCACATTTGACATTACCACGGCTGAGGCTGATGTGACACACCAAGGTCATTCAGCAAGTGATGAATGGATATTTGATCTTGGGTGGTGGCTTGGCACTGACTCCTAGCACGAGCTACATATCTCGGTGGGAGAAGCTGAGGAAGTGGTGTGGTTAGTGACTTCCCCTTGCTGACCTCAGTGGTGCCCTTTCTTTGTCATTTTCTAGAAGGCAGAGAGGGGTGAAGGAAGGCTCAGGGAAATGGGATGGGCTTGTCTCAAGAACTCAGAGGAGGAGGAAGAATTTTCTGCCCTTTGGTGTGTGTGTGTGCGCGTGCGTGTGTGTATGTGTGTGTGTGTGTGTGTGTGTGTGTGTGTGTGTGTGTGTGTGTGTGTGTTTTGCCTGTCTTCCCGGTGACTGTTCATCATTCCTTTGGAGGCACTATGCTGTGTGGCAGTGAGTCCTGGAGGACTCAGATTAAAGGTGGGTGTGTTAGCCAGCACTTGTTGTGGGAGAGGCTGTGCAGCATGGAGGCCTGCCCAATTCCCTGGGCCCTTGGCGTTTCTGTTCCTTCTCCATGATGAACCCTGAATAAACACACACACACACACCACCACCACCACCACCACCACCACCACCACCACCACCACCATCACAGAAATAGGGGGGGGAGAGTGGGAGGAAGAGAGAGAGAGAGAGAGAGAGAGAGAGAGAGAGAGAGAGAGACAGAGACAGAGACAGAGACAGAGACAGAGACAGAGACAGAGACAGAGGTACACAAATGATTTTCCTAGCCAGGGCTCCCCAGAGGCTGCTTCCTAGACCCCTGGATGTGGAGGAGTGATATAAAGACAGAACACTGGAGATGAATCACCGCTGCAGAGATGACTGAGGAGAGTGTCAGCATCACCTGCAGGGAGCTGATGCCAGGGTGATGGAGAGGCCCATCAGCAGGGGCCCCACCAATCATTTTCTCTGGAGTCAACATGGGGGTGGTATCTGTTGATTTCTGCCCAAATCTGTAAGATTTCCATTAGTTCCAATCTCCTTCCAAAACATCCTTTTCCATGGAAGATGCATTAACCAGAGTCGCCTTTTCTTATGTGCAACAAAGAGCTTGCTAGACACAACTCCTATGCATAGAACTTCAGGGAGAGTGATTAGCCGATCACTTTTCCTTCCCAGTTCCCAGAATCCTCTAGGGTATGGCCTATATCATGAATTTTCTTGTCTCTTCTCTTATCTGCCTTTCTGAAGGCTCTCAGTCTCATTTGGAAATGTCTGTTGTCTGTCCCTGCAGAGGACATGCATGCTTAACTTGGCCTCTTGGGACCTCTCCTGGGGTATACCATGTCGGAAGAAGCCTTCAGCTAAAAGAGTAAGTTTTGCTTTATAAATCTGCCTGGAATCCCTGTTCTCTGTCCACTGACTCATTAGCATGAATGAGCCTTTTAACCTTCCCAGGCCTCAGTTTCCTCATCTGAAAAAAAGAGTAACAGCATCTTCCTCTGAGGGCTGGGGAAAGGATGAAATTTGAGCATCTCTTAACAAATGACTGGAGGCTGTGTGATCTCTAGGATCCTGCATGTGCAAACACAGAAGCCAGGGTGTGGAAGAGAGTCTAGACTTCTTTCCTAGCAACTAACCTGGTATTGTGAGAACTAAGCCAGTCTTGTGAGAACCCCATCAATCTGGTCCAAGCCTGTCACCTCCATTCTCTGTCTCACAATAGCCTCACTAGCTTATGAAAAACACGCTTCCAGCACAGGCAAGTCTGGGAGACACACTCAAACCATATGTGAACCGTAGCAAGTTTCTGGAATAGAACGGGGCCCTGGAACGAGGAAGCGAGGCGTTCAGGAGAGTTGGCATGAGGTGGGGAAGCACACAGGAGTCTTGACAGTTGTTCATCTGCTGCTGTTAGCAGTGGGGCCGTCACTCTCCTGCTGATTAATGCCTTATGTTCAGGACACCCTGACTACCCTGACCTTTCAGCTTTCCTAGGTCAGACTCTGATACCAAAGTACTTTGGTGTATTATTGTTATCATCATCATCATCATCATCATCATCATCATCATCACTGAGACTGTGGCTTGCTATGTAACTCCTGGTTCTCCTACCTCTATCTCCCAATTGCTGCAAATACAGGCACAGGCCACCATATCTGACTCCATGACCACTTTGGTAGAATGCTTGAGGTCTTGGGCAGGAAGAGTTTCTATGCATCAAACTTTCAAAGTAGAGGAAGCATCTGAGTTGCGTTCTCAGACTCCATTACTTTATAGTAAGGAGGTCACATCCACAAGAGTCTTGAAACACTGGGGTTTTGCTGCCTGGGGAGAGAACCTCTTTGCCACCACGTTGTTCTCTGGAGCATGCTGGAGGCCTGCACTCATCTATATGTGCATCTCCCCCCCCCCCCCCCCCCCCCCCTTACACTGTCCTGAGCAGTCCATAAACAGAGTGTATCTAACCCTCTTCCTCCCTTAGGAGAAGAATACTCCAAAGCAGCATCCCTTTCTTCTTCTTCTTCGTGCCCGTGGCCCCACCTCTGTTTCCTCCCTCTGGGTTATCTCACCGTGAGACTGTTGGAATGAACTGCAGTATGGAAGGCAGACATGTTCCTTGGAATGAATTCAGCTGATTGTTAGCTTGGGTTTAATAACTTATTTATCACATTCATCACAAATCTATCTCATAAATAGATTTCTTAGCTGAGCCTGCTAGCCAGGGCCAGACGCTTTTGAGATGTGGGGGAAACGATCAAATCCACAGCCACCACCCACAAAGTTCAGCCAAAGGAGGGGCTTAGACTGGTTGGGAGAGTGAGGAGAGAAGAAGTTGATATTGACAGCTTTTTGAGTGTCTCTTGGGTGCACAAGGCCGTGTGCCTCCCTCATCTCTCAGAGGGGGAAACAGGTTCAGAGAGGCTGCAGAGGTCACACAGGATGTGAATGCCAGTGCGTGGAACCCAAACCACGTCAGTCTGCCTTTGCAGACCATGAGAACCTTTCGGTCACAATGTAATTATGTTTCTGGAAATGAATTTGATGTGTCTGGGAAAAATTCATGAAGGGATGGGTTGGGGTTGAGGAGATGGCTTAGTGGGTAAAGTGTTCACCATCTAATGAGGTGTGACCTGCGGAGTTCAGCTGCCTAGAACACCTGTAAACTCTGCACAGCTGTGGCAGCCCACCTGCAATTATAGCACTTAGTAGGTGGAGACAAGGGGGTGGGGTGGAGGAACATTAGCTGAATCTGGGAGCTCTGGGCCTAATCGAGAGACGATACCTCAATGAATAAGGTGTTAGGCAATCGAGGAAAGTTATCTGATAACAAATCAGGCTTCCCACATACACACTAGCCAGCACACACCTGCAGCCACGCACATGCCAACATCCGTACACACGTATGCGTTGGACATATAGACACACATGTATCTCTCCTCTATCTTGAGCAAATGCCTTTTTTTTCCCCCGAGTTCCCATGAATCTTTCTCCTTCCCTGTGACCCCCCCTTTCTCTCTTTCACTTTTATGGCTTTTCTGGGGCATTGAATCTCGTGGGTTGGGGCCCACGCTGAATGCAGTGGCCCAGGCAGCCATTGCTCTGGTGCCAGAAGTGGGCAAGAAGCTGAGGCTGGCTGGCTGTCGGAGCAGAAGGGAGATAGGCCATTTCAGAGTTGGCCTCAGCTGCTCCTGGCTGTGACACCGGCTGACTGGTGCCTCTGGTTCTCTCTGGCCTGAGGATGCTGGCCACACGGAGGCACCTAGTGGTTCTATGATGGAGAACTTCCCACCTCACAGCTAGGCTTCAGAGAGCTCTGGGATGCTCTTGAGCTGAAACTACCCTGGTCCAGGTGGTGGGGAGAAAGAATGGGGACATCTGCAGTGAGCTGGGCACACTGAGCTATAACCCACGGAGTTAATTTTCTTTATGCCTCCAATATTCTAGGCTAGTAATTAATTCACTTGACAAGTGCTACTGTCTTCTAAAGGGGCCAAGTGAACCCTGAAATGATGGGATGAACATGACAGACGTGTTCAAGATCTTGAAAATATTAACTTGTAGTGGAAGAGAGAGACAGCCAGTGGACATGGAAGGAGCTAGAAGAAAACTCTGTTTTCACTTCCAAAACCCCCATTAATTTCCATCCACACTGGCCTTTCTACCCATTTCCCATGTGGTGTTAATTATCAGCAATTACAGATTACTGCCAGCATCAAAGATGACCGTGTGGCTGATCAAAGATTCAGGATTTGAACAAGACAGGCAGCTTCTAGCTGTATTTCAAAATTCGATGACACCGGTTCCCCAAGGTCAAAGACTCAAGCAGCTCTGTGTCTTCGGGACCATCCCCCGCCCTGTGCTTGGTGATGGCACAGTGTGTGGGTGACAATCCTTAGGGAGTAACTCAAGCTAATGTCCTATAATGGTGAGGCTTTTCTTTTTAGAATCGAGACTCAGCTAGCATTCATAGAATGCTCTATAGAATGACCAAGGGACATCGTGGCTCCTGTCTCCCGAGAGGCACCCACTCTGTTGTCGCAGTCAGGGTCCACACTGGCAGGAGCAGACCTTAGGGCCGGGGCTTGTAAGTCCAGTCCTGTAACTTCTATGTCATCCTGGTTAAGGTACGTAATCTTTGTGAGCTTCAGGGATCCCTGGGGAAGCGAGGTGCCGAGCCAAAGGGTGGAGTCTCTGTCTGGACATCTTGTCTTTGGCACTTAATCCTTGCTTTACTCTAGGTGGGAAGCTTATCCATGGATTTTTTATTTCTCTATCAAAAATTGAGCACAAAACACCTCCTCCTTTGAGTTTTTTTTAAAGATTCAATGAAAAATAAAAATTTCAAATGTAAACTCTATAAATGAGGTGGTCAAAAAGTAGCATTTGAAACTCTTCATTTAGAATGAAATAAAGTCTTTTAAGTAATTTATTACCCAGCTCATAAATGGTCACGACTTTACTGGAATCCTAGCAGTCATTTATGATGGATTGATTTTTTTTTTAATTTCATGTCTTTTCTCAAGCACATGACTCAGTAGCAAGTTCCATGGCTGGCTTCCTGAATGTGTCTTGACTTTGTATTCTCTCTTCATCTTCACAGCCATCTATTGTGACCACAATCGTCTCTCCCTTCAGTCTCTGAACACGTCCCAGAGTGCTCTGACATTCCTGACACTAAGAAGTGAGGTTGACCCTTTCCCTAGAACTGGAGAATTATGGGACTTCTTTGACCAGTTCCTCATAATGGAAATAATGCTATGTAGTATCTCACCCCATAAAAGCCTTCTCTAGAACATTCTCTCAATGATCCCTCTAGTAACTGAGCCATCATATTACAAGAAAGCCCCCAAATGCCATGTATATATGTCCCAGAGGACAGTTCCTGCTAAACCTAGCTTTTGCCATCCCCAGCCATTGGAGACTTCTTAGTTAAGATTCCAGACATCGTGAGATAAGGTGAGACATATACACTGGGCCCTTGCTGAACTTTGAACCCACAAAATTAGTGACCATAATAAAATTGCTATTGTTTGAATGCTCCTGAATAGGAGGTGGGGTGTCATGCAATGGTGGATGACAGAACACTCTCCCTGACAACTGCAACAGCCTCTCAGTTTGTCCTCTGATTCCATTAATATCCATCCTCACACAGTGGCTGCTGGGATCTCTTAAAAAATAAAAAACAAAAACACTAGTATGATAGCATCACCTTGACATGTAAAACCCTTCTAGGCATATTACTGCCTCAGCCCATGTGGTCTAGTCTCTGTTCTTAGTGGGGCATTGCCATCTTCCACTGGAGCTCAGATGCTAATGGGACACAAGAAACCCCTGCTTAGCTTTACTTTCCCACTTCAGGGGTCAGGCCGCATGTCCTGTGTCTATGTGAATACCAGGAACCCAATCTACTGATCCCAAGGCCTTCACAGGCAGTCATTAGTATCCTGGATCTTTTCAGCAATAACTTCTCTTTTGGCTTCTGGCTTTATGGTAGCTCCCTTCTTCCTTTGAAATGCAGCCATATTTTTAAAACACTATCAAACATTTCTGTGTGTTTGTCGCTGGAGGGGAGAGTTGCATCAACTTAATAGGCCATGTTGCAAGAAGAATACTATTTATAGGTAATATGATCGTGTACTTAACTCAAGAGAATCAGCTAAAAGGCACTTGGAAATGAGACCAGTTGGCAGGGTGGTCAGATATTAGATTTATAAACTCAACGGGCTTTTTGAGAAAAATAGTGCATTGAGCATCTTCTAAATCTACAGTGTCCTGAATACAGACGAAATCCAAAATTCTGCCAGATTAGGTCTGCTTGACCTTTCTTGTTCCTATCTAATTTCTTCCTTAAATGTGACCTTTGACTAA